TGTGTAATGCATTGTATATTTCAACCGTGTTGCAAATTAGGAAAAACCACATGGTATGTTGAACATATTGTTGGTCTATTTAAGCATACTGAATGCAGTGAACTTCCAACATGTCAATTTCGATATAAAATAAATCATTAAATAATTCAAATATCCAATGTGATATTTTATTGCATTCACATGATTTGACCTTCATCTTAAAGTTAAACTTGATTGTTTGCAGACCAGTACATACATGCCTATTAATCCTGTACAAAACTACAAACAGTTTGGCACTCCTAGCTCAAATGTTTATATTTGTGCCACAATTGCTTTGCAAAATGTAATACTAGCCTAAATTCACAAATTATGAAAATTAGTACAAAAACATGTGCAATGTTACACGTCATTAGTGTTTAGAATCACAATAAAAGTAATCAACATTCAGCTAGCAATTTCAGCATTGCACATAAGTTTTCTCGCTTTTCAGTCCTGCTATTTAGATTTGTGCCACTATTGATGATGCCCACGAACAATCAGATTAATGAGAGATGCCTTGGGCATTGCTTGAGCTCGATAAGCTAACACTTAGTTTAAAAAGTGCTCTGGCTGGCAAATTAAATAGGTTGGCTTTAGTCGCCGACTCGAGACTCAAAATCATCTCGCCAAATTTGGCAAAATTTTGCCATTTATCGAATGCAAACCATCATATGATCATCATCCACAGCCATGTGAAAACTAAAATAGCCGGTGGCACTAGTGAGTAGGCACTGGAGATAGTGCAAAGATTCGTCACCTGTTTATACATGTACATTTATGCAGTGTTGTAGAGCCCTGTGACAGAGCAAAGTGCTAATCAAGTATGCATTTTTACTGATTATGACACAATTATCTATGGTTTTATCTAGTCGGGTCATTTGACTGAACATAAATTCCTTTTAATAATTTTAGTTATTCATCTGCTTTTACACTGATTATTAAAGCACTAATGAAGTAATAATAATAAACTCACTGGTAACTGAAGCTGGGTGTGAAACTTGAAATTGGTTAGCAAAGTTATACAGCAGGGATGATGCAGAAATGTAGGTGGCTGCACAGCTATTGACTACATCTGCACAATCAATAAACTGAAAATTCAATCGCATTTTTAAGTCTTTCTTTAAATAGTGGAATATTCTGATATCAGGAAGCTCTTGGTAAACATGACGATTAGCTGTATGTAATGTAAATATCTGTGAGATCCTCATGCATCTATTCACACTATTTTTGACCTTTCTTTGCTCTGATTTATGAATGTGACTATATGTGACCCGCTCCAGCAAAACCAGGATTAAGTAGGAAATTTCCCCCTTAAGGAAAGAAAAGGAAGGAAGAAAGGAAGGAAGGAAGGAAGGAAGGAAGGAAGGGAAGGAAGGAAGAAAAGGTTTTTTTTTTTTCTTCAGCAATTTGAAGATCGGAAACCGACTTCTTTTTTTTTAAATTAAAAATGACCATAATAATCTAGAGATATCTGAACCTATATATCTGGATTAAATATGCACTTAGGAACTTATTTTTGTAAAAATCTTATTTTTGTCCAGGTAGGCCATTTTCAGCATTGACATGTGTGCGTGCTCATTACTCAAAACAATGACTTGCGACTTGGTCCGTATTATGCTGGAGCGGGTCACATATTACCTTGATAACATATACGTGTTGCCTAGATACACGTGTTACAATATCTACTGCCATGATTTAAGGAATGTCAGTGTTTTTAGTTATCTATGCTCAAAATTATATGCCCCACTGCTGTGAAATATTGATAATTGCAAAGCACTCTTGTGTCTTGCAGGTTTGTGCATTAGAATGGATCTGCAAGCACCAGCGCCAACAGACATATGGCTGTTTTGTTAAACAAGCGGCCATATAAAGAATGTTGAGTGGGACCTAGGCTTCTCGGGAGCTCGCTACTGTTCGGTGAGTGGCGCGTGCTGTAGGTACAGTTCTGTTCCAGTGTGTGGAGGGATTGATGAAGATGCAGCTTACAGCAGACGTGACGTTTGCCAGCGAGACAGTCGTCTGGCATCTTGCAGTCTGCCTCGACTCAATGGAGTCAGTGCCAGTCAAGTAAAATCGTGTGGCAGCTGATTCAATGTACTGCTTTTATGTTGTTCAGTTTCTTCTTTCTTACCTGATTGAACTTATTGTGAGAGCAGACCCATGCACAGAGAGTGTATATGTACCGAGAAAGTGGCGAGTGTACAAAGTTAGCTTTTTAAATGTAGCTATTTAATCATTTTAACCTAGTTAGTACCTATCTAGCCTTACCTTGGAGATATAAATTATGTGCTTTTAAGCCTTAAGTAGTCTTCCAGTACTCTGGATGTTATTTCTATTGAGCACTCCATTTTATCGAATAGCTCAAACAATATCTAAATGGAGTTAAAATCAAGTCCACTTTTCTTGACTCACAGGTTACGTATCTGTTTGATCATAAGGAGTTATAATTATTCAGAGGATGGATTATGTACCAGATGCCTGCATTGCTGCAGTACATTTAGGAGCCCCTCAGGATGTTCCCACCATTATTTTTAGCTTGCCTTGACATCGTCAAGATGAGCTATTGCCATGGGGTGTCGTCCATCGTACGTCCGTCCGTCCGTTTGTCAACATTTGGCTACGGTCAACGATATCATAACTCAAGAACCGTTTGACCCACATGTTTCCAATTGCATACAGTTGTTACTCCTATGGGAGAAATTTGAATATCCTATTTTGGAGCACGCCAGTCGACTTACTTTTGAGCCACGCCCACTTTTTGGCAAAAATGAAAATGGCCATCTAAATTCATTCGATTTTGTTAAATTTTGGTACATGTGAATGTGTAAGGCTAGCCCCAAAACAGTTGTTACTCCTATGGGAGAGATGACAACGTCCTATTACGTTTATTTCGTCTAACTGGTTAACAACTCTACAATCATACCTATATACGTGTAATATTGTGTTTTAGATTCTTCGTTACAATAATTTGACTGGAATATTTTATTGTTTTTATTTGCGCGATATTCAAAAACCAAAATGGCGATCATTTAGGCGTAGCGCCATCTCTCGTCAAGATTTCAGACTTTCAGATCTGAAACATTTATTTTCGCATCAAAACTTATGCATATATCATTATCAAGAGTATATAATGGGAGATATGCTAGATATAATGGGAGTTCTCCCATATTATATACTTTTGCTTTATATATCCCCCCCTCCCTCTTCTATCACACCCAAGGTGAGCTACAGTCTCATTGACACTTTCATTAGTTAGCAGGATTGTCCCCTGGCCTTTCACGTGTGTCTAACCGAAAATGGCTTCAAAGCTGAAACTAATAATGTAGCATCTCATAAATCCACTGATATTCCTTAATTGCCTAATCGACATGCGGTATTCCAGCTGTGTTAAGTTTTGACAATCTCAACAGATGTGCTGGTTTTTGCAGCTTGATATATCTAGGTCTCTGAACGGATAGCTTACCTGTTTATTTGGGTCACTTGCTACACAAGTAATTTACACCAATCAGCAATTGGAGATAAATTGCCCTCTGACAATTTCAACATGCCTTCTGACATTCTTGGGAAACGTCCTGGTTAGTCATATAGTGTTGTAAAATTAGTTGGTTTTGTCTCTATCTGGTTGATTGATCAGATTGATTGCTTTTTGGGGTCAAAACTCAAAACGTGCAATCGTGAAATATAAAAGTACCAGTTTCGTCATTGTCATCAGTTACGGCACATGCAATGGTGACATTGTAGTACCCATAACAAGTACTGGCAAGTGTTAAATGGAGCTTGTTATTTATTTCTTATTGATATTCATGATTAAACATTTTTATGTAGCATAAATAAACCATAAGTAACGCCGATAGCTAGAGGCTGAAGACATGCGTCTTGCTGATGCCAAGTAACATTCGTTTAAACTTGTTCTCCCAAGCAAACGCAGCTCAAATTTCGACAGCCCACATTTTTGCACACACGCTGTACGCATGCATGCTGCTATACTTTACGTGGAGGACATGAGTAGGCCACCAAGGGAGAAACTTTTGTTTCAGGACTAACCGACCGTTTTTATGACAAACGAAAGGATCATGAAATATACTTTCCACTAATATGTCAAGTATTTAAGAAATTACAAAATACTAATAGTTAATAAAGGCTATTCTAGTGTCGCAAATGAGATGTGCCAGTCACATGATGAAATCTTGCAATAAAAACTTAAAGTATTAAAAAAATATTAAAAATGTCACCTGCCAATCTCAAAATGATAGCCTGTTCACACATAGTATGTTATTTGTCAGTAAGAACACAGAAACTGTGTTGTTGTGTGGCTGGGCAAAATACCTCGTTGTAATTGATGCAGGGCCATGTCAAGCACCATGAAATAAAAAACAATATTGCCTGCTGCGTGGTACTGTCACCTAGCACATGCAACCACCTCTCTGCCTTGAATGGCTATCTGCAAAAAAGGGTTAAACCAGCGATTGAGGACAGTATATAATATGTGGTATGAGATGTAGATGTATGTACTCCAGGGTACATTCGCAATCACTGTGTGCCCAACAAAATTATGGTTTGTTTGCTTTCAAATGTTTGAATCTATAAAAAGGGGAAAATAACTGAAAAAGTAAAAGCAGCGCATCGTGTACACTTGCAGTCGACTGCATGGATCACTGTAACTTCGTGCACATTGAGGCTGTACATAGGTCTAATGTACAATACATGGGAATGAAATCAGGATAAAGTCGAGCAGGGAAATATTCTTTAAATTTAAGCAATCAAGTTGCATATATGGGTGTAAATGTTGTTTGCGAGCTATAGTACTTGGTGTTGACGTTAGAACCGACGTTTGTGTGAACATGCATTTTGGCATACGCACACACGCGCACATTCAAACAGGGTATATTTCTTGGATTTCATATCTGGACAGTGTAAAGCGTGGTGAACGACCGCTGTCTGCTGACTCGAGTGTCATAGACCCGAGCAGTACGAGAGTCGGTTACAAGTGAGAAGTCGGTGTTGCGTGAGGAGTATGTGATAGCTGCTGCTGTTCTTCTCATAAAACATAAACCGCAGGCTCCAACCAATTTGCGCTTGCTAATTTTGGGCCAGCTGTGAAAGTATACGGCTGTCTGCACCAGATGTATGCACGAAGACTTGCATCTACGCGTAAAGTGTGGTACCCGGGTGTTTGTGATTGCTCTACACTATTTCTGGGGTTCACTTCCAACCCTCCGAGTGAAAGCTGCCGACGTGACAGTGATAGGCAATGATCTAAGGATTAAAAAATGTTAGGAATCGAACATGTGCTGTACTCACGCACTGCGGCAATTGCTCACGCCTGTTCCTGCAGACATGTCATCTCCGCGAACTTTCTCAAAAGGTAATTAATTCATCAGTAAACCTACGCAACAAAGATTTGTCTAATAGTGTGTTCGTGTGCCTCTAGTTCACTTGGTTTATAGTTCTTACAGTTACAGTGCTTTATTTAATTAGCATCATTCAATAGTTTTAATTGTATTGCTTAGGTTAGAGAACTATGCTTATTTAGTTGCATAGTTATTACACTTGCTCATTTAGTTTACAGTGTTTCATTTTAAGTTGAACTTGCTTTGGTATTTAGGTTAACAGCGCTTTACTATTTAATTTGCAGGTCATCATTAAGTCGGTATTGATTGTGTATAGAGTTTACAATGTATCATTTAGTTTACAGTGTATCATTTAGTTTACAGTGTATCATTTAGTTTACAGTGTATCATTTAGTTTACAGTGTATCATTTAGTTTACAATGCAATATTTACTTTACAATGTATCATTTATGTTAGAGTGAACTACGTATTAAGTTTACAGTGTACAGTGCGTTAAGTTCTGAGCACTGGATACTGCGTAATAGTGGAAAGCTGCGATTTGAGCTGATTTTGCTTACCTAAATAATTGATGTGTACATGTTGGGAACGTTGTGCAGTGAGATATAACATTGCTACTGTTTCATGAGCTTACATTAATTCTTGTTCTTGTTGTTAGCACCCAGCTTACGCTAAATATTAGGATGATGTGTTGTGTGTGCACGTCTATGTTGTTGTTTGACCTACGTGAATTCATCCAGCCTAGGCTATAATTATAGCACTGCACATTTAACGTTACGGGGATGATTTATGCCACAATTAGACAATCACAAATTCTTGCGTGAATTATCATGTTTCGTAATATATATCGCTTCCATATTCTACATATTATCTTCAGAATTAGCATAGTTGAAAGCATATCAAATCACCGGTATCTTTCACAGAATATTTCATCAAGAGCATAAACTATAGAGGAAACACTAATAACAACAGCAAAAACATTTTCACTTGAATTAAGTAATGTTACGTACATAGTGTTATGTGGTATTATAATGTTTCCGTGCTTCAATAAGACCAACTGCTTGTCACTTCCACGTTCCTGACCGGAGGTAGCAGTGCGACGTGCGTACAGACAAACTAATGTCTCTATCAATCAATCTTTTTCTCTATAATTCTCTCACTTTCTCAAGTTAAAAAACGTGAAAGCAATTGTAAAGGAAAATATATTTACCAGAAGGTGATGAGAGATCAGAAGCTGCAATTTTTACCCAATACTTATTTGTAGAAGGAGAATTAATAACGCCAATTGTGTTGATTATACTTTAAAGGGCAAGCTGCGAACGAGAATAACATCAGAACTGATGTTATTCTCGTTCGCCTTGCCCTTTATAATAGAAGTTAAAACCGATGTACTGTTAGGAGATACATTTCCTAGAATTGTGTTTTCAAGAAGTATATATGTCGTTATGGTACACGGGGTGTACATGTTACAAAGAGGCCGTATTCTTTATCCGCGTAGCCTTGATCTCGATATATAACGCTCTAGTGTATTTACGTATAGTGCACAATGGGTATCAGTTGCACTGTACAGTGTGTGCTTAGAATCCAGGAAGCCAAGTCTGGTTTCAATGCACAATCTGGTCTCTGCCCCCACACTGTGATGTATGCAGGCATGTTTACACGGTGCCAGATGTGTCTGATGATCTGTCCAGCCTCCGAGTGCGCTCCCCTGAAGGGTGTGCTCTATGCATGTAACAGCCGTGTGTAATCTAAATGAGGACTCTCGGCTTGTTCCCGCCAATACTGTATTATGAAACCTTGTGGCGAGCCAGGCTATGAACGCAGTCGGGTGCTCATAGAAGTAGCTATCGGTCGGCGGGTCGAGGCCTGCCAGGGGAAGGGGGGTTGAGACTGAGATGAGATATAATACTGTCAGAGATGAGAGGTTGCGCAGGACGGTTCGAGTAGGATGAGAGAGTGGGTAGTGAGCATCGGAAGTGCAATCTTCTCTCGCGTAAGAGATGATTGAAGTGAGAGGAAACCCGATCTTTGTGATGCCTAGTGAAAGTGCTCAAATATTTAGAAACGTGTTTTTCAATTCCGCCCCGGCAACGTGTTTATGACATTTAAGATACAGTAGCAAGTTTCGATCGCTAGTTCGGGCTAACGCTCCATTAGGAGTGTTCCCAACTTTGATATCATTAATGATTAATGATTAATGATTAATGATTAATGATTAATGATTGATAATCCTAACCCTAACCCTAACCCTAACCGTAACCTAAATGACATTAAACCACAAACTAATGTATGCCCATGACCATATATATATATATATATATATATTAAGTTGGGAACGCTCTTAATGGAGTATCACCCCTAGTTGGGCGAGACATGAGTGTAAACAAGACACATGTATGTATTGTCTACGTTTGTGGCGTTACTAACGAAACATTACTTCTGAGTGACATGGCGAAGGGTTGGGGTTATTGCTGTCGCTAACAAACACTAGACAGAAAGCAGCTATCGCATCGATTCAGACCATGCCGCTGTCGCGTTGTAGAGATGCTGCTATGTACAACATAACTCACAAAATTGCCGTTCATTATATTCAAATTATCAACATGGATTATCATAACGCCGTCCCGGCGTCAATCAGCGGTTTTTACACCGGGTTTTCTACTTGTACTTTTAAAATAACTACTTATGCGCGAAGGTAGGCCTACACTACCCGATCATCTTCTTGAGTTCTGTCAGTCCGTATAATCACTATTCTGCTCACTGATTTCATCACACAACAACCGTAAGAAGGCTTCTGGGTGAGACCAGACTGCACTGTCGATTCCTGAAAAAAATATTCACTGATCTGTTTATACATAAATTCTCTCTAACGTAACGTAAACGTAAATTCGTTACCGTTACGTTACGATACGTTATTAACGTAACGTAAATGCACAATTGTCTTTCCGTTAGCATTCTCAGCGGAATTCTCAACAGAAGGCGCATGTCAGCTTTCAGGTGAAATACTGTCATCGCTTATTACTATAACTTCTTACGACGCACCAGTATCCGGAGTGCATAATAGAGGGAATTCATGCACTCTTTGCCCGTGTACTTCTGCTAGGCTCTCATATCGTCTCAACGAGTAACAGAGCTATGTTATGTACAACTAGATACGATTTGACCATGAACCACAGTACTAGTCTACAGGGTGTCAATTTCTAAGTGCGCATCGGAAAGAACTTTATCTCAACTATCCATTTTATCACATGAAAATTTATAGTTTATTTTCAATAAATTTATTTCAATAGGCTTGGATTTTTGCCAACAGACTAATACAAAGTTCCGAATACACATAGACAACTCCGTCGGCCTATGTTTGGTAGGAATTAGAAGTAACTGCCAATATTTACTAGCCTGAACTAATTTGGAAGCTGTATGACTGCGCAATTCGTAACTGATGAATCATCCCATCAGGTTACTATGAGCGCCATGGCACTGTATTGTTACCCCGTGACTGTGAGAACTGTCTTGCTATTATTGGTGGTTACTGAAGAAATGCAACAGAGCGTTAATCGATATATACAGGTATACTGTATCGCGAAACAAACATCATACATCACTGCCCGCCCACATGCTTCTCTGTCGCGCGATGAAAACGCGCAGTCGGCCGTACGTGTGTCACGTGTGAAGCTCTGATGACGTAATGTGTACACTCGGTCGCACTGAGATGTATACGCTGTCTCACGTCGACGCTCAATGCTGCAGCTATCACGGAGCCATCGGATTAGGCGAATTACACCCGGCTATCCCTACAAGCAGTAATAATACTAATCAATGAGGCTGAACAAAAACGAGACCGGCTAGCAAGATGCTCAGCGTTGCCCTCTGTGAGGCTCCAGGGACTATTGCTTACGAAGTTGCACTGAACGTATTGATCTGTCTGTCAGCCGATACATGTCGGCATCTACTGTTCGATATGCAGCATATGTTAGTGGATAATAGTGATCGTCAGTGGTTGATATCATTTTGAAGCCCAACTTAACTAGTGACAACGGGGGTTTTATATTCACCTTATAGCAACGTACGAAGAACATAAATGTCATTAGGCTATACAGGGCATGGTCAGAGTATATGCCCAGACACGAAGTCTTTTCACAACGCGTATTGAAATGTATTAGCAATGCTCATTTCGGGGACAATTTATTTAGCTTCTTAACATCCTGGGTAGCAGTATGCACATGTATGTATGTGAGCTTCCAGGTACTAAGTACTAATGTTTGAATACCATTTGACATATCCTTCGATCGTTACTGTTGCTAGTATAAAAAAACACCTTTACAATACCTACTGTGACTCAAAACACTAATCAGTCAGAGTGTCAACTTGTGTGTTTAGACCACTACATGTACCCATCGCTTACTACTGTCCTTCTCCTGGCGCTTACATGCCTTAATTCCTCTACAGCCATGCTCATACCTCATTCATACATGCTAAAACTGTTGCTAGAAATATAATACTCATGATTGCATTTTTCACAGTGTAGCTGCGTGCGGTCATATGAAAGGTGTTGACAACATGAGTTAGACTGCGTTCAACCTTCATGTGTGGGCACTCTAGTCTTTCTAAGATGCCACTTACTGCCATCTATGTTATTTACTTCTAAAACATCTGTCAATATCAGTTATTTTTAATCCTTAGCTGCGGAAGATGATACAGTAAAATCTAGTGTTTTACATATCATCGATGGCTTAGACGAGTAATTTTGGTCAAGTTCAACTAGATAGATGTTTTGAAGCACGAGAATTAAAATAGATATTTTGTTACAATGCAGGGTTGTTTCAACAGAGCAGATGTGTCACGCATTTAATATCTTCATTTATAGATTGCCTTTTTACTAACATCTGCATTTAAATTATTCAGATAATATTTCAGAAAACATTTTTAATTGGATAGGCAGAGTTTATTGCTAGTTTGCCTGTGTTGATAACCTCATTTCGACATGTAGCTATTTACACGTGTACTGCAAAAAAATTTC